GTGGTGTGCTTGCCAATGGCTCGGCCCTGGTTCCTCAGGAATCTTTCATAGGGTCAATATGCAGTCCCTGGCTGCCACCCTTCCTGAGTTTTTGTATTTGTTTCCTAGGACTGCCATAACATATCAAACACTGAGTGGTTAAAACAATGAAAATTTACTGTCACACACTTCTGGAGGTCAGAAGCCCAAAATCAAAGTGTTGGCAGGGGCATGCTCCCTTTGAAACCTGCATGGGTGTGTTAGTCAGCTTTGAAACCTACAGAGGTGTATTAGTCAGCTCGGTCTTTCATAACAAAATGCCATAGACTGGGTGGCTTAAACAAAGGAAAGTTGTTTTCTCACAGTTCTCGCGGCTAGAAGATCAAGATTCTGGCCAATTCGATTTCTGGCGTGGGCTCTTTGCCTGGTTTGCAGAAGGCTGCCCCCTAACTGTGTCCTCACGTGACCGTTCCTCAGTGCATGTGCATGGAGAGGGCTTGCTTCCTTGCTCTTTGGTGACTCTTCTTATAAGGACACTAATGCTATTGGTTTGGGCCCCACCCTTATGACCTCACTTCCCCTTCCTTTATTAGCGTCCTCATCTCCAAGTCCAGCCACACTGGGTTTAAACCTTCAACATGTGAATTTGGGGGGAACACAAATATTCAGTCCATAACAAGGGGGAGCCTTCCTCCTCCTTCCTAGCTTCTGGTGTTTGCTGGCCGTCTGTGGTGTTCCCTGTCTTGCAGCTGCGTCGATCAAATCCTCATCTTCACATTTATCCTCCCTGTGTGTCTTCCCATCGGCTTCCCACTGTGCATGCCGGTGTCTGTGTGTAAGTTTCCCCTTTTCATAAAGACGCCTGTGATAATGGAGTAGGGCGCAGCCTAATGACCTCACCTTAACTTGACTGTATCTGAAAAGACTCTATTTCCAAACAAGGTCACCTTCTGCGGTGCTGGGTTTAGGACTTGAATATATCTTTTCTGAGGAACGCAATTCAATTCATAGTAGCCCCCTTCCCGCAAGAACGTGCCCCCTGACCGGGGGAACCGTAGATTTGGTAAATATGTCTGTAACCTCACCTCCCATGCATCCTGGGGAGCAGGGCTGGAGACCAAATTTGTGTTGGTGTGTTTTTCTTCTTTATTAATAAATATTGCCAGATGAATGTTTAAATAAATGAACAAAAAATCATCTTGAAGAAAGTTATCAAAAAAATTTCCTCCAGTCTTTATGAAAATATAGTGTGAGCGAGTCTCATTTCTGGAGAAGGAAGGAGAAATTAGACCTTTAGGGTTTTTAGGACTGCAAAGTGCCTTTCTATAGGGAATGTGGGTGTGGGGAGTGGCCGTGTAGGTGTTGGGGTGGAGTAAGAGAGCTCATTGTTGGTGAGGATGGGCAGCCTGAATTTCTGGTTCTGTGAGGCAGCTGCCCTGGGAAGAGGCCACGTGCATGAGCTGAAAGGGGGTCTCTGCTGCAGTCCCTGTGGCTTCAGCCTCTTTGGGCCTGGGCCCACTATCTGGGCAAGACCTTGGGGATAGATGGCCTATTCCCTGCAGCTTCAACACCAGGCTGGAACTCCCCTCTCCCTGCCTCAGGGATATTTGATCCTTGGGTGGTCATCTTCTTACCCCAGAGAGATTGAAGGAAGGTCCTGAGCAAGTTTGGCTCACCTGCCTCCCCTTCTGTCCTCTGTCTGCCCCTGACCACTCAGGTGCATCTGCCTCCATAGTTGGGGTTTCAGGGGCCAGTCCAATGGCCACCCTAACCCTGGCTGTCTCATCCCACCCTCTTTCCCATCCCCTCCTCCTTGGGGCAGTCTCAAGCCTTGTGAATGGCTTTAACGTGAAGGGACAAGGCCACTTTGACTGGAAGTCTACCTCACTTAGTGTAGATTTGTAGACAAGGAGCCCGGCCCAGAGGAAGTGCAATTGCCAATCAGAGCTGTGTCCCGGCACTCATTGCAATTAGAAAAGCAGGAATTTATCTGGCTTCTGTTTCAGTGACAAGATCCATTGAGAGCAGCCACTGCTCAGTGGGTGTTACCTGTCTCCATCCCCCAGCCAGCATATCACACTAGGACTGGCTGGATTGGACTGCTCCCCACTGAGACACTTGGAACCCTGAAACAGGATCCTGTGGGAGCATAAAAGCAGGAGTTGGAGCTGAGAGAGGGAGAGCTTCTGTCCCTTCTGCTACTGACAATTGGGCATGGTGTCCTGGGGACATGATGGACCTTGGCTTTGTGTCCTGGCTTGTTTAGAGGGGCCTGGCAGCACAGCATCATCTAGCTCCCTTCAGTGACCTTCTGTGGGCCAGGAGTCCATGTTTCCCCCCAGGCCATGTGCTCTGTGGACAGAGTGGTGTCCATGGCAGATCTCCTGGACTGGGTGTCAGGGGTACGGGATGTGGGAGGAGGGAGCTTGGAGGGGCTGGAGGAGACAGAAGTGGCTGGGGACTGAATACCTGCTGCTTCTCCTGGATGGCCCCAGGCAGGACTGGACGGAGCACTGGCCTATTGACTCACTGATGTGGGTCCTGAAGTCCTGTGGCCTCGGCACTGGGGGATGCCAAGATTGGGGTCCCATGAGGGAGCTGAAGGGAGGGGCGAAGGCCTGGCTGGGAGGAGGGGCCTGGTGTCCTGAGTCAGTGAATAAGTGGAAACAAAGAAATATCTGGAATACTTCCACCACTGAGTACTGGCGTGAGCTAGTCTCTACGTCTGATGAGAGCCAGGGGTGGGGCCTGATATGAGGAAGAATTCAGTGATTTGGAGAGAACAGGGCACCCTGTCAGGCAGCGGGCAACCCAGGTGGGTCCCGAACTGCTGAGAGGAGGAGATTTTTCTTCCTTCGAGGACAAGTTAGCTCCGTGGCACGTTGTCCTGGTCCATATTGGTCCTACCTTGGTCCCTAGGCAGGACAGAGGGTCCCTAGGTTCACTGGGGCTGTGTCTCATGGGCGAGGAAGGGATCAGGAGGGGGCGGCGCTGGGCGGCTGTGCCCACTGGTCACGGCTCTGCAGAGACAGCGCCTGGGGAAGCCTGACTAGGGGCCTCCTGGGGACTGGTTAGGGAAGTGGTCTCTTGGTGACAGGGACACAGTATTCACCAAACTGTCCACCTGCTCCCCCACATTTTTAATCTCTGGCAGTTAGCAGGCTCTCTGTGATCAGTTCTGTCCAGAAACGATGCAGTGAAACCCCCCACGTGGCTCCTTCCCTGCTGTGGGGGCAGAGCAGGCTGTCAGGATGCTGTGGTTCCATATGGTGCCCCGACGAGATGGTGGAGGCCACACCCCTGTGGGACACAACCCCTCCCTCACTATTTCTTAAGGGACCTGTAGGGTGAGTAATATACAAACTCCCTTTGTTCTGAGGCCCTGCATTGTGCTACCTTGTTTGTTACCACAGGATGACATAGCCTACCCGGACTGCGACACTTCCTAGCAGGAAGACGAAGGCAAGCACCCATCATTACTGCATTAGTTACTTATTGTGTGACCTGTGACCCCAGGACTTAGTGCCTAAAAGCAGCACCATGCTCTGTGTCACAGCTTCTGGTGGTCAGGATCCAGGTGTGGTGTAGCTGGGTCCTGTGGGGGGTTAGGTACGCTCCCAGCAAAAATTTGGGTCCCTTAGGCAGGGGTCGTCACAAAGGATAAGAAAATAATAGAAAATGGAAAATAATAGAAATAAAAGAATACAGAGATGAAGGTATAGTTTCATAGATTTATAAAAATAAAAGGCAAAGCAGGGGTACTTGGGGGTCCTTAAGATATCCCCGTCAATTGTAAGGCCAAGAATAAAGTTTCACATGGGCATTTATAGGTACATAGATCGGTTGGTTGCCAGGGGTAACAGATTTACATAATAACAGGTAGTTTGTTTTAGGTTAAAAGTCTTTCAAAAGGCTTCTACAATCCCTTAATTAACTCTGGTTACAAAAACTTTCAAGGACAAACTTCTAATTTCTAAGATAAAGCTATCACTTAACAGAAGGGTTAAACAGAGATATAGTGGCTCCATATTTCTTTATCTAGTTATTGCAGATAGAGACAGGTGATCAGAAGTCAAGCAGGAACTGTCCCTTGGGCTAATTGTTTTTAGCCGCAGGTGTCTGTCTCTTGGGCGGGCATTCTTTGATCAGCTCTCATCCCATGGTTCCATGCAGACCTTGCTTTGTCCTTCAAAGCAGGTGAGAACCAAGGATTTGAGACTGCAGTGTCACCTTGGAAAGCAGCTGCTACTGACCTTTGAGATGCCCTCCTGAGATGGAGCAGCTTTTGATATGCAAACTAACACGCTCACATATTCCTTCAGGGCAAAGTTCTGCAAAATTCCTGAGATCATTTCTGTCTCTAATATAGCAATATTAATTTATGGAGCGACAGGGTCCTGTGGCGCAGGGTCTTACAGAAGGAAGTCAAAGTATGGTCCAAGGTGGCCCCCAGTCCCCTACCCTGAGGGCCTCTCCATAGAGCAGCTCACAGCAAGGCATGCTGGTTTTGTCAGAGTGAGCAAGAGAGAGAGCGTGTGAGCAAGACAGAAGTCACAGTCTTGCATAACTTGGTATCCCTAAGCAATATCCCATCCATTTGCTGCATTGTGTTCCTTGAAGCAGGTCACCAGATGCAGCCCACACTCCAGGGGAGGGATTACACATTGATGTGCACAGGAGGAGGGAGAGACCTTTGGGAGACACTTTAGAAGCTGCCTCCTATATTTATTCACTTAGCATGTGCCAGAAAATGTACTAGGTTTTTTTGATCTACGATCTCATTTAATTCGTATTATCATTTTGGGACAGTAAGGAAACTGACGGTTAGGCAGTTTAGCCTGTTCAAGGTTATACTCCACGAGAACCAGACTTGATCCCAGAATTACTTCCAATTCATTGTACTCGGCTGCCTTCCTAGAAAGAAGAATTTTGGATGGGTTTGATTAAGACGAAAAGTTCCGTGGTTCTCTTATTTGTTCTTGATGAGAACACATTCCCATTTCCTGTTTCCAATGCTCCAGGTGTCTGCAGCGCTGTGGCTGAGAGTTCTGGGGCACACGGCTCTACAGTTAAGGATTCCGGAGCCCACGTTCCTCTGAAGGGGATCCGAGGAGAGTCTGTCTTGTTTGATGTGACCAAGAAGGCAGGAGCAGTTCTGGAAGCTGAGCTGGAGGAGCTCTTCTGGAGCTTTACCCCTGAGTCAGACTACAGAATCATGTTTCGAATCCAGAGAGGCATCCAGGCTCCAACCTGGTTCAGCCTCCAGGACAAATTCCAGCAGAGGGTCCAGGTGCCCAGCTTGTCCTCCCTGAAGATTGAGAACCTGACCCTTGAGGACAGCGGGCAGTACCGAGCTCAAGCCAGGTTAACAGAAGGAAGAGAAGTTATGCAGGTTTTCCACCTTACTGTCTATGGTGAGTGACAACCCCTCCCTCCAGCCCATGGCCCATGACTTACCTCCTCCTTTGTCACACTGGCCCCATGTTGCAGGATTCCATTCAGACACAGCTTTCAGACTCTACCGTCTCCCCTGAAAATAGGGCAAGTGAGGACACCAGAGATGGAGACCAGAGCTGATTGATACCAGGGAGAAAATCACTTCAGTGTCTTGGGAAAGGAAATGGAAATTGGCTGTAATAGCAATTGTTCCAATAATGTTAATCATCCTTTCTAGGACTAATGTTACTTAATTTCTATAGTAGTTTTCCATTGTTTCTAGAACAAATTACCATGAATTAGCAGCTTAAAAACAAGAGAAATTTCTCATTTCAGCATGCTGTGGGTCTGAAGTCTGACACAGGTTGCACTGGGCTAAAATCAAGGTGTTGGCAGGCTGTGGCCTTTCTGGAGGCTCCAGGGCAGAATCCATGTTCTTGTCTTTGTCACGTGCTGGGCACTATCTGCCGCCCTTGGCGGTGACCACCTTCCTCCATCTTCAAAGTCATTAATGGTAGGTCGAGTCCTTCTCGACCCCTCTCCCCTCCTCTCCCTCCTTCTGTCACTTCTTAGAATTCTTGTGATTATATTGGGCCTATCTGGATAATCTAGAATAATCTCCCCATTTCAACGTTAGCTGATCAGCAACCTTAATTCTATCTGCTACCTTAATTCCCCTTGCCATGTAACCTAACCTATTCCCAGGTTGCCAGGACTAGAATGTGGAATTCTTTGGGGCCACTATTCTGTCTACCACAGTTGGAAGTCCACACATATCGAGTCCTCCCTGTCCCCTCTCCTCTCAGCCATAGTCCCACACTCATTCAGCACTCTACAAACCCAGCTCTCAAAGCCTTGACAGGTACAGGAGAATGTTCACATCCAACACTACTTGGGACACCTGTTTACCCAAGACTTTCTTTCCCTGAAGTTCCTCTGTGCATAGGGAAATATCCTGCTATGGAGAGAGCGAATTTGCAGCGTTAGGTCCCATGTGCTTTGTAAGCTTGGCTTACACATCTGACTCTTCTCTTCCTGTCTGTACCTCAAGTTCAGTGGCATGTTCTAAACATGCTCGGAGATGTCGTTCCTTGTCACTGCCACTGCATCTCCCACCAATGTGTCTACTCTCGGGAGCATGGGGCTTTCTCTGGCCTCACAGAGCTCCCTGAAGTCCTGCCCCACAGGGCTGTGCACTCCCAGGCGTCTTCTCAGCTGGAGATGCAGGGGAAGCACCCTGGGTCAGGACAAGCCCTTCTGCCCCAGACTTCTTCCCCTTCCAGGAAAGACCCCAATTTCTTAGAAATAATGGGGCTTGAGTAGGTGGAGTCCAGCCTTTGTTTCCTTTGGGATACATCTGAGACTTGTTAAATCTAGTGAAACCTCAGAGAGCTGACTCAGGGGCTCCCTTTCTTATTGTCATCTGCTCAGTGTTTAGGTTTGCACAAACTGTTTTATCTGTAAAACATATCCACTTTCCCTACAGGGTGCATGCCATGGCTTCTGTAAGAAAATGAGGAGAAAGTATCATGTGTAATGTTTTCTACAAATGAGGCTCCTTTCTTTTGTCTCCTCCTGCCCCAGAGCCCGTGCCCCATCCCCACATCCTGGCTCAGTCACCATCCATCGGACCAGGCTGGTGCAACGTCACCCTGGAGTGCAGGGCCCCAGGGGCCACAAGGGACCTGAACGTGACCTGGGAGAGCAGGGGCCTCCCCGTGGAGCTGGAGCAGAGAGGGACACCAGGACCAGCCCTTGACTCCTGGACCCTGGCTGCAAGCCTACCCCTGAGTCAGCCCCAAGCCAGCTTCACTTGTGTGGTCAGCAACCCCATGGACCAGAAAACTGCCACCAAAGATCTTGGGGACATCTGTGCCCAAGGTGAGTGGGAAGGGACATTTGGAGCTCAGACAGCACTGGGGCCTGAGGGTCCGGGCCTTTCTCCCTGCTCTGTGTATTAGCATCAGTGTCCACCTGGTCACCCACTCAGAAGCCTGGGAGTCCCAGTCACCTCACTTCTGCCTTTGATCATCTCTCCCATCCGGGCTGTCCTCTCCCAACCACCCACCATGTCCCTGCTGGTCCAGGCTGCAGCCTTCCCGTGGCTCTCCCACCCCATCTGTTCTCCACTGGGCATCCAGAGTGGGCTTTGGGGAAAGCAGATGGGATTGCATCATTGTCTGTGTCATCTGTGGGAACCTGGTTCCAGCCAACCCCTGTAGGATTCGGATCTTAGGTATTCCTCTGCCCACATTTTTGGCCTCAGCTACTCGCTTCACACCAGAGTACTGGCTATAGTTCCCTGAGTGTGTCCTGCCATTGCAAGATTCTGAGCTTCTGGAGCTTCTGGACATGCTGTGTCCTCTCCCAGCAGCCGTCCCGAGTCCCATGTCCTTCCCTTCCTGTCTTACTGCTACTGAAGGAGTCCCCTGAGGCAGGCAGGCTTCGTGGGGTGAAGACTGGGTAGTGGCACAAGGCCCCACACTGAATGGTCTTGGTTTAAAATTCTGCTGTTAATCAGGTTGAACAAGGGCTCCCCGTTTCCATTTTGCACAGGGCCTGCAAGTCACGCAGCCTGTCCTGCCCTCAGACACCACCTCCTTAGGGAGCTGTCCGTGGCCTCCCCACATTGAGCAGTAATGATGGATTTGTGTCTTGGTCTCCTCTGTGGACTGGACAACCTTGAGGGCTAGGCCATGTCTTGTTTTCTTTTGAATGTCTGTGCCAAGGCAGCTTCTGGCAAAATTTGCTGACAACCAGTGTTCCTGGAATGAATGAATGACCGGGACCCTGTGTGCAGCCCCATCTTCTCTTCCTCCAGGAGCTGCTCGAGGGTCTGATGTGTCCAGTGTCACTTAAAACCGCCTGTGACCTTCTCCCCTGACCCCATCCTGGAGTCTCAGCTAACACTTAGCATAGCCACAAGGTCCTCTGGGCACAGACTCCTACCTCCCTCTGACCCTCCTCCCTGCCTGCCCCTCCCCTGATACAGTGGGGGTGCTGGCAACTCCCAGGGTTGGTGTTTGACATAGCCATTCCCTGAACATGGTGCTCCTCATTCCTAGAGTGACCCCCTGTGAATATCTGGAAACTCCTACTCCTCCCTCAAGACTCAGTCTACCCACACCTCCTCTGGCAGGCCCTCCCGAAGCCCTAGCACAAGGTGCCAACGTCTGTTGCAGGAGGGTTCCTCTGTCTGGCAGGTGATACTTTCTCAGTCTTCCCTCCTATGTGATGAGCTACATTAGGGCCTGGACATTGTCTTGTTCATCTCAGCATCCCTGGCACAAGCAACAGCTCCATGTCTGGTTGAATAAATGGACCTGCCATGGTCCTTCCTCTCCAGCCTCTGCACCAGACCCGTTCGTGCCCCCCACCAGCTTTCTCCCTCTGTCTCCCCTTGGAAATGGGTATCTCAAGTTCTCTCGTGCCTTAATTTTGTTCATTCTTTGTATGAGGGAAACAGATTCACATGGATCGGACGTGGCTAGACTAAAGGCAGTCATCGTAGGGACTATTGTGGTTTTGATGTTGACCCTGGGAGCTATATTATGCCTTTGGAAGACACGTGGAAAGAGGAAGAAGAAGGAGATGGAACCAGAAAGAGGCAGGTTGCACTTCTCCTTCCAGGCCCAGATGCCTCCCCTCCTCCACTAGAACTTGGTTTCCTTTCTCCTGAATGTGGCTGCCAGGGGAGTCTCCTGCACATGGGGTGGTGTGTGTGGCCACGGCTTTGGTGTTCATGGCAGTGGGAGGGATACAGGTCTCCAAGGCACAGATTTAAGGATTGTCTGTGTGTGGCTCAGGTGCCCGAATGCAGGAGGACCACAGAGTTGAGGATCGTGGCATCGACTATGAAGAGCTGATGAAGCAGGAGTCTCAGGTGGGTGAGAACAAGGTGATGGTTGGGGCCACTGGCCGTCTAGGATGTTCCCAGGTCCCTCACTGCCCATCCCTGGGCTTCCAAACCCAGGCATCTGCTACTTTGGCCCTGCTGCCTGTTCATGTATTTCTGGACAATCAACACCATTTACTAACAAAAATTTGTAACTCGGGTCAATGGAATGCTTTGCACTTTGGGAATTTCATAAGCAGAGCATGTCAGTGGGCTCTGGCTCTGCAGGTCCCTCTGGGGCCACTTTACCTCTCAGCTGCTCCAGGATCCCTCTGTCTTGCATTGCAGGGCATCAGCAAACTACATGTGGATGAAAAGAGGCCTGTGACTACTATCTACAGTGAGGTTCGTAACTCAGGCCGGGCCATGAATATCATTTAATTGGAGGAAGCAGGAGAATCGGCACCGCCGGGATACATGTGCTCTGATCCTGAAGCCTGCGGACACCTGTCTCTCCCAGCTGCAGTTCAGCTCCAGCTGCCCCTGGTCTGTGTTAGCCTGACTTTGCGGCCATAGCTCTATGGGTACTCATGGCCTGGTTATGTTCTGTGACACGTCCCCAAGCTGTCCTCGTACTCAGGCTCCTCACCCCTGCTAGGTGAGGTCTTGGTCTGTCATTCAGAGGGATTCTCACTCTTCTCCAAAACCTTCCCAAGGGGACCCTGTCTGATTGTGCAGGTAGCAAATTCCCACCACTTCTGCTGTGTTGCTAAGTGTGTGATTCTGAGAACACAAGCCCAGGCGTGGGAGCTGTGCTGACGTATTTGTTGACTGTGCTGCAGGGGAGGGAGTTAGGACCTGGGTTCTGGGTGCTGGTTAGGGTCAAAGGAGGCAGCATGGGAGGGTGGAAGCCCCCACAGTGACTGGCCTGAGGCTTCCTTTACAGATCTCACGTAGGCCTCTCTTGGGTGTGTTGAGCAGTGTGTGCATATTTGTGTGTGTGTGCATTGTAGGGAGTGTCTAGGGCACATTTTACAGGTGAACCAAAGTCGCCTTCCTTTTCACCTATGCTAAGCTGGACCTAAGCCTCAGCCTTAGCCAGTAGACCCAATATTATCTTCCTGTGGAGTGGACAGAGGAATTCGCATTATCTGAAGCCCTTACCAGTCTGTGCTTTCATTAGCCACATCCTTCCCAAACACTTAGTTGATATTTCAAGCTGTCTGAGCTGCATTCGTTCCATGATGGAACTTATATTCGGAAATAACACAAATTTTTGACTTATCTGTTGTTTCACAAAAATTGCTTTAAAAATTTTGAAAGATAATAACAAGCCAAACCATGTGTTTGGAAGAATGAAGATGTTACCCTCACAGTAAAAATAAAACAAGAAGTGTCAAAATGAAATGCCAAAGGTATCAACTGTCGAACTTAGTACTTAAGGAAATCAAACTTTTCATAGTTGATAACCCAAAACTAGCATACTGAATTGAATAGCACTTTAAAATAAACATACACCAAGATCAGGTATAATTTATTCCTGAGCTACAAGGATGATTCAACATATGGAAATGAATAAATGTGATATATAACACATTCATACAGTGAAGGATAAAAATTAATTATATGATCCATACTGGTCGTTAAGGTGGCTGAGAAAGGCACGCACACTTGCCTCCTCCACAAAGAAGGACCAAAATAACGAGTAGATAACCATATGTTGAATGGAGTGTGTTAAGAGGGAACACTGAAATTCAGCAGGGGAGTGACGCAATGTCACTTCCTTGGAGGCATGGAAAGATAGGGCCATGGAGCAGCCGGCCTGGCCAGAATCAGCTTGGAGCCCGGAGGAACTCCCCTTTTGACAGAAAAGGTAAGTGAGAGATCCCCAGTGGTCCACATTTGCACAGTGAAGCCCTGCAATCTTAGCCATGGGAAACCCCCTTGGCCCGTGTGAATCCTGAGACTAGTACAGGGAGCTGTCTGGACTCTATGTGATGGCATGTTCCAGAGAGAGAGTTTGCGCTGGACCCCACGCACCTCTGAGACCCAAGTGGTGGCATCACAGTGCAATTTTGAGAGCCCAATCCCCAGCAGACTACATCCTACTCTAAGGCCCAAGAGTCCCTTCATCTCCACATCTCTGGAGTCCACTGACATCCTCTCACATCTACCCAGAAGGCTGCAGTGGATCTAAATAAACATTTCTCAAAAGAAGACATACACACAGCCAATAAATATATGAAAAAATGCTCAACATCACTAGTGATTTGGGAAATGCAGATCAAAACCACAATGAGATATCATCCCACACCAGTTAGAATTGCTATTATCAGAAAGACAAAAAAAATAACAAATGCTGAAGAAGATGTGGAGAAAAGGAAACTCTTATATGGGAATGTAAACTAGTACAGCCAATTTGGAGAACAGTATGGAGATTTCTTAAAAAAAACTAAAAATAGAAGTACCATATGATCCAGCTATCCCACTACTGGATATTTATCAAAAGGAAAGGAAATCAAGTCAAAGAGATATTTGTACTCCCATGCTTAAGGAAGTAGCTTCCTTTAAATAGCAAAGATATGGAATCTACCTAAGTGTTCATCATAGATGAATGGATAAAGAAAATGTAGTATTCACACGATGGAATACTATTCAGTCATCAAAAGAATGAAATACTGTCATTTGCAGCAACATGGCTGGAACTGGAGTCATTATGTGAAGTCAAATAAACGAGGTACAGAAAGACAAATACCACATGTAATCACTCATATGTCGGAGCAACAAAGGTAAGGTTGAACTCATGGAGATAGAGAGTAGAGTGACGGTTACCAGAGGCTGGGGGTGGGGGGAGATCAGGAGAGGTTGGTTAATGGGTACAAACATGAGATTAGATAGAAGGAATGAGTTCTAATGTTTGATAACACAGTAGGGTGACTATTGTTAACAATAATTTATTGTATATTTCAAAATAGCTGGAAGAGAATATTTGAAATGTTCCAAACACAAAGAAATGTTAAATGTTTGAGGTGGTGGATATCCTAATAATCTTGATTTGATTGTTACACATTGTATGCATGTATCAAAATATCACATGTACCACATAAATTTGTAAAATTATTATGTATCATTAAAAAAGAAAAAACACCCAAAGGTCATATGATCATCTCAGTAGATGCAGAATAAGCATTTGTCCACATATAACATTTTTTCATGATCAAAACTCTAAAGAGACCACAGTGGGGATTAAGTTTCGACATGTGAATTTTGAGAAGTTGCAGAGCAGAACAGGTAAGAGCAAGGTATCAACAGAGATCAGCCGCTGAGAGGCTTGGAGTCCAGTGAGAAGGGTAGGTGGAGTGGTTTGTTTGTCTCTCCCTCTCATCTCTGACAGTTGTCAGGTTCTTGAGCTGTTGGAGAGACTTTCTGCCCAAACAAGCCCAGAGGCTGCTGCTATCAGTGAGCTGGGAGCTTCTTGTGGACAGGGCACCAGGCTCCCAGCCCCTCAAGAATACCTCCGGTCTCCACAGGCCTGAGCTGGGATGGCAGGCACCATATTGCTTCTCTACTCACTATGTGCCGTTTTCTTCCCAGGGGACTTCAACTCCTCAGGTTTTGTCTTGCTCATTCCCACACAGACATTTGCCAACTCCAGGCCAGACTGCAGGAGCCACAGAGGTCCAGTGGGTCCCTGGTGATCTGCTTGTCTCCAGTGCCTGGAGGTTCCTGGCAGACAACCTCTTGGAGAGAGGGACAGACATGATCAGAGTGCTAGCATTCCTCCATCCAGACTCTTTTTGTCCCCTTCTGTTCCCCCACCTGCAGTTGCTGAGACAATTAAGCCACCACACTGAGGCTTCCACAGACAGTGGGGCTCAGACCTTTCCTCTTGGGGTCCTGCAGAAGACAGAGGGGTGCTTGAACTGTGAGCTCCCTGCCTGCTGGCCCTCCCTGGTGCTGCTTGCCCAGAGACTCCATCAGAGCAGGGCATACCCCAAGGTAGAGGAACACCAAACCTTCTTGGGAACCTTGTGCCCTACTCGGGACCAGTGTGCTTCTTGCTGGCATGGTCAGGGATTGATCTTCAGGGACCCAGTTCCCATACCCCCAGGTCTTGATCGCATTGCTTGGAGGCACAGAGGGGAGATTTGTGAATTAGTGTCAGGAGGCAAGGGTGCCTGTATGGCTAGATTTTGGGGGAGAGTGTAGTGTGAATCCTAGCTGTAGTGTGCTTGCGGGGCACCCCTCCCCACACAAGAGGGCCATGCTCTCAGCTTAGGCTGGGATCCAGGGCAAGGAATCTCCTGACCTGTAATGTAATCCTGGGGAAGCTCTGCTGGCTTGAGCTCCTGCCTGCTGGCAGATGCTGGGGGGAAACTGTGAAGCAGAGGAGGGTGGAGAGGAGTGAAGCTTGCTCCACACCGTCAGACTGTGAATCTCAGATGGCTCTACCTCCACAAGCAGACTTTCTGTCTGGGTAGGGCCACTTGAGCCCCTCTCTGGAAGCTTTGTCCAGAAGCTGGGAGCAGACTATTGAACTCTGGTGAAACACATACCTTGCCAGCTTTTTTTGTGGAGCCTAAGGGCAAGCTTACACACCCCAGCTCTTCCCAGCTGCACTCCCCAACTGCCTCTGCTGTGACAGAGAATAAGGACTCACCTGAAGTTGCAGGGCAGTACCTACCACCTGGGCATTCAGCTGCTTCTACTGAGGGACTAGAGCCAGTCATAGGATCCAAAAACACTGCAGCTTGTTCCTTTTGGCAAGTGCTACTGTCTGACAGGGAGGTCAATTTGCACAGCCCTTTACAGCATTTACTGACTCAATCATACAGGGTGTGGTTGATTCTCACCCACAAGCACCACCTACTCTCTCAGAGATTAAACTGGGCATGTCGTTATCTAAACAAAAGAAAATCCAAAAATAAGAAACAACAGCTGCTCAGATGAGAAGGAATCAGTGAAAGAACTCCAGAAATATAAGGAATCAGAATGAAAGGACACCACCAAAAGTGAACGCCAGCTCTCTAGCAATGGATACCAACCAAAATCAGAATATTGAAATGATAGATAAAGAATTCCAAATATGGATTATAAGTAAGCACAATGAAATACAAGAGAAAATGGGAAACCAACACAAAGAGCTTACAAAAAAAGAATTCAGGAAATGAATGAGAAATTCACTAAAGAAATTAAATTATTAAAAAAATGAAATCCACACCATCTGGGGGATGGACACACTTGGAGCTCTGACTTAGGTGGGGCAAGGGCAATATATGTAACTTAAACATTTGTACCCCCATAACATGTTGAAATAAAAAAATTAAATTAAAATGAATTAAACTGAGAACTAGAAAACAGGTATATTAGGGATGACTAATTATACAAATTTTTTCTAACAAAGAAAATTTAAGT